TGTATTCTGATTCTGATAAAAGATATATATACCCGTCGTTATGTAAATGTGACTTTCCAAATAAACAATAATTTTCTGAATAAAGTTATTTCGCCGATATACGTCAATTTACATGCCTGGCAATGGGAGTTGGAATTATAACCGGCGGCGACATGACCATTGAAAAGTTCGCACGCGCAATAAATTGTTTTGCGGACCAACCGCCAATGCGGTTGTATTGTGCAAACGTTTAAAGCAGATTTGTGTATCGAGCTATACCCGTATAGTCAGCAAACTAAATATTTGTATTCGAAGTGTGGACGCGGTCAGATCGCATGTGGACGCGGTCAGACCGCGATACACATGACGGCCGGCGCACGAAAGTTTATTGATAATGTTAGCGGAACTCGGTCTCTCAGCGATTTCTCGTTGCGCGATTTCGCGAAGAAAGTATTCGGCTCATTCACGATGTAGAGATATCTTCCTAATTTTGTACGAATGACTTCTCGAATAGTTTTCAGACGACACAATCTGAAAATGTGTTGTAACATATTTTAAATGTTTTGTTGGCTTTTAAATTTATAACAATTTAAAATATTTTAAAAAATATCGATCACTAATGATTAAGTGAAAAGTTATCAGCTTGATAATTATACTTTCTTATAAATATACTATATAATACATTATATTTGTCTATTGGCCAAGTTTATATTGTTCCACGATATAAACGATGGCATGTGATAATTTATGAGATGGACGTTCGCATCTAATAATTATGAACGCCATGGATAGAGATTAGACATTTTGTAAAGCGTATTATAAAATTACACGCTATTATTCATGATTTTCTCTGTACAATTTATTACCGTTATATCCAAAGCGGGAAGGTTGCCGGTAGGAAGATTCGTGATATCTTATAATTATCTTGTACAATAAATTTACACGTTCTAAAGCACACGCGTACTTTGTGGAAATTTCTTAATAGAGAGAAAGAAAATGAATGATAGAGTATCAAACGTATAAGAAGAACGTAGAACGGAATTTGACGACTTCATCAGTTATTTGAAAATTAAGCGTTTGTGGAAGGAATTATTGACATGGAATAACAAGAAAAATTCGAATATGTCAGATAAGATGACATAGGTTTTATTAACACAAGTAAACTAATAAAGGGATAAATTGGCGTAAGATAATAGGAGAGAGTTGCTGAATATTGTTATTTTTTGCATCCAACGAGAGGAAAAGCGTTCTCCCAAATGCGTCGATATTTTAGGTGCATTTCATTTAGCGTTCGTAACACTTGTTGAAACAGTTCTATCCTTGTTCACGCAAATGCACCCCTGTTGTCATATGACGCACAATCAGCATAATTTTCCCTGTATTAGATGTACGTGCTCGCCAATCTAGTATTTGGATTAAGAATGTAAGACATTCCACGAGACAGGCAGCTTCTTTCTAAACGAGGTATTTCAATGCGATATACAAACATTACTGCGTAGGTGTATGCTGATTTTAAAAATTTCAAACATCAAAGTGTTATGTTTCAAAGCGATTTTATTTCAAAGAGACATGAAAATTTTCTCGCATTTCTGTCTCGCATCCTATTTCGTAGCCGTCACATGCATTCACCCTTCAAACCATACACTAGGGTGAATTTGCTTTTCTGTATAAAATCGGAATAAATCAGTGCAGAAATTCACATGGTTCTTTTTGTATCATTAGTTAAAATATAAAAAAATTTTTCGCTAAAGAAGATTCGAAAACTGAATAAAATATACGAATTTATTATCGTTTTAACGATTATGTTTGTTGTTCTATGGTCTCTTCAATTGATTTAATTTGAATATTGAGATATTTTTCAACAATTTACGCACCTTGAACAGCGCTTATTCCTTCGAGCCCTTTTATCCCTGTTATTTTTAGTTAGGAAATCGTAACATTTTTTTAACTTTTAAATTAGAGAATCGTAACATTTTTTTTTTTCAGTGAAAAATGTACCGTTTTTTTCTTCAAATTTTTGAATCATATAAGAACTAATCAAAAGAACTAATGAGAAAATTACACAACGCAGAATTACATCAATTATATAATAGTCCGGATATTATTAATGTCATAAAATCGCGCCGATTGAGATGGGCAGGTCACGCGGCGCGTATGGATGAGAATCGAATTGGATATATGTTAAAGTACTAATTGGTAAACCGGATGGGAAAAGACCATTGGGTAGACCAAGACGTAGATGGGAAGATAATATTAGAATGGACCTTAACGAAATGGGGTACGAGGGTCACAAATGGAGGGATCTTGCTCAGGGACGGGAACAGTGGCGGGATTTGGTATTTGCGGCAATGAGCTTTCGAGTTCCTAACGCCTAATAATAATAATAATAATAATAAGAACTCTTAGTAATAATAGTTAATAATAATAAGATCTCTTTCCTCTCTGTCGGCCCCCCGCGCATCGATGGGAAACCGTGAAACCCGGACATGCTACATGCCAGATAAAGAGGAAATAAAAAAAGAAAAGTACATGGCTCCTGCTCATCGCACCGTCAGTGCCAGTACCTCCACCACCGCTACTGCCATCGCCATTACCACCACCACCATTACCACCACCGCTACCACCTCCTGCATCATCACGACCATCATTGCGCCGTAAGGGCAAAAGTGACCGCCCACGCATACCCGCCGCTGTCTCTCCTCATTCTCTCTTCATTCTCCTCTCTCCCCTAGCCAGCCTCCTTTCCGGATCTATTTCTTGTCATCACCGTCCTTTTTCTTCCTCGAACTCCTTCCCGCATAGAAATTTCTCAAAATCTTCCCAAATACATCTTAGATTCTGATTAGAATGCCCAAATAAGCAAATCGCACCGCGATACCAATTAGCAAATCTATTTTTATCCCAAATTTGGGTTTTCTGTTTAGAATCGAAACAGAAATAATATAAGAAATTCGCATTTCCTTTTTTTTTTTTTATGAAAATTATGTCATTCTTATATGGAAATAGAATGGGAAATCCACGTTTGTTCCAAGTAGATAAATCGCAGTGCGATATAAATTAGGAAATCTATTTTTATCTCAAATTTTGATTTTCTGTTTAGAATCGAAATAAATCAATGCAGAAATTCACACGGTTCTTTTTGCATTATTAGTTAAAATTACGGTTTTATATATATATATATATCGAATGGAAAATCACATTTTTATATCTATTAAACATGGAATTCATTACATTGCAATAGAATAAAAAATAAAAATTGTATACATGTATAAATATTGATTAATAATGTGTGTAACTTTATTTTTTATATTGTTGTATAGAGTCACTCATAATTATGACTAGTAATTATGACAGGGGTAAATGTGACGTACAATACTATTTGAATAAAAAATAAATTTTGGGATTATTTTTATCAAACGCATTGAAAGTAATCAGCAATTATATTTTTATGTGTTTGATAAAAATAATCCCAAAATTTGTTTCTCATTCAAATGCATGTCACATTTACCCTCACTGTCACAATTACCCTTAGTAACCCTACCTTTTATTTTTTATTTTAGGGTTAAATAATATTGTGATTGCAATAATATTATTTAACTGTATTAGCATTATTTATGTTTAGTATAATTATGTACTATACATTGATTTATTTGATTAAAAATGTATGAATTAACATAAAATTAATTTAGTAGACAGTATTATACAATTTATAAATAATTAACGCAGAAGTAACAATTCAATTGTAATCATTTTATTGTATTGTAATAAAGGAAACACAAATGTTAATTTTGATTTACATTCTTCTAAATTTACACATAAACGCATTTTTGTTTAATTATATTTGTAAGAATTTTAATTATTTTTACATTAGAAGGAAATTCGAGTATCTGTTTAGATTTCCCATTTAGGATCTGTTTAGATTTCCTATTTAGAATCTAGTTTACAAAACATTACACCTCTGATCGGAATCTTCATAGATTTCCCAACCAGAATTTATAATTTTTTTGGGGAAATCCGATTGGATTCTAATCTGATCTCAAAAAATATTCTATACGGGAAGTTCACGCCGTGGGAGTGCGTACGGCGAGCGCGAATTCCACGATTTTTATTTATCATTTTTTATAACTGTATGTATCCGCGGGCGAAACCTGAGCGCAAGGTGGTGTTGTTGCACCTGCATCTACATTGCACTTGCGATCGCGGTGAGCGAACTGAGAATAAGTAAGACACACACGCTTACGTACGCGCACGATCTGCGTCCTAATATTTCGCAAAATTAGAAAATTAATTTCTTACTTAAAGACAATTTTATTAGAGACAGATTACTTCAACTTTTTGTGCGTGAAGATATTTGTGTACAAACCATAGCAATTTATTTTAACAATTACAAAAATATACTCCTGGAAATAATCGGTCGTGCATGTATTTTTTTTTTATTAAAAAATTCAATATACATGATAACACAATTTTCTTCTTATCGAGATGGTTTTTAAACTCGTTAATAACCGATAGATTTTATTCAAGACGACGATCACAAATGTCCTTTGAAGAAATTAGAATTTTTTTTTTTGTACCTTTATATATATCGTCAAGTTATTCTCTTGAATTCATTCTATAAATAAAACGTGAAACGCAGATCGCGCGCGTACATAAGCGTGTGTGTCTTACTTAACATTTAGTTCGCTCACCGCGATCGTAAGTGCAATGTAGATGCAGGTGCAACAACACCACCTTGCGCTCAGGTTCCGCCCGCGGATACATACGGTTATAAAAAATGATAAAAATCGTGGAATTCGCGCTCGCCGTACGCACTCCCACAACGTGAACTATGCTCCATACTCTCGGTTCGATATATTGGTAAATAGAACGAGCGAATTAATTGGCGATTTCGCATAATCGATGCAAGGGAGAGACGCCTGCCCCTAATGGGCGCGGCGGCGCGCTCAGTTCTTTAAGCGCGCAAATCGCATTCATAATGATATATTCGCGCACAGCCAATGTACATGCACACGCGTGTGGCATGTGAATTGCACGCGCCTTCTCTATTAATAAATAATAAGGCGCGCTAGCGTGCAATGTCGCTACTGTTGATCCAGCTTCCCTCGATAAAGGAAGTCGATTTAACGAGCCGCGGATTAAAAAGGAACAGTTTCACCGCGCCGAAAATACGGAAGAGTAGAACTTTTCGCCCGGCTACGCCGCATTAATAATGCACAAGATATGACGTTGAAACAGGCCGGATTATTGGTGAATTAGTCGGCTGGTATTGGCGGAGGAAACTTTTGAATTATTATCGCGATGGGGATTACGCAACGAACGCAACATTATTGCTTTTCTGTTTTATGCCATTTAAAGCGGATTTACATTTTACAGATATCGCGCGCATTTTGCTTTGATTTACAAACTCATCGAACGTGCATATTTCTATTGTAAATATATTCTTTTCGCGAAAAATGAATACGTCCGGCTGTTACGTGCCTGTAAAATAAAAAGAAATGCCGTTTGCAAAACATACACCTCAAATTTGCTATACAAATTTCATTATTAGATGCAATTGGTAGCGGGCATTATTTGTAAAATAAAGAATCCGAGCAAAAAGAAATGGTTTTCCATAATACCTCTTTTCTTTTCTTTTATCGCGCACATCGAGCGTTTTCTGCTGTAAATGTATTCTCTCTGCGAAAGATAATCGCTTGACTATATTACGAGCTTAAAAATTATTAAAAACGATATTTACTTATGACTAACATAACAGAAACAATCATTCGGCCGTCACGAGCTTAAAAGTTATTAAAAATGATGTTTGCCTATGGCTAACATAACAGTGAGCAAATTCAAATACGAGATCGTGCTTTCATTTCGAAGGTAGCAAGACAAAATGAATTTTTTCCCCTTGCTATTTCTTTTTCTCTCTGTCTCCGCATCGAGCATTTCTATCGTAAATGTATTCTCTCCTCGAGAGATAAACACTCAAACTTCGCTCTACGAGCTCGAAAAATATTGAAAAATCAGAAGTCGGTCATATTTAAAAAATAACATTATAAAATATATATATATATTTTTAAATAAAATAGTTATATTTAGCATTTATTATTTTAAGTAACTGTTTATGATACGATCGATTTCTTATTTTCTACCATTTTCTATTTTTTTATTTTAATTGAGTCGTACCAATTATTTTACCGCCCCCCTCCCCCCCCGTTAAAAAAATATTTACAAGCAACCTATGAATAACACTCGTGAATAAACGCGAATATAATATTGACGCGGTACAAATTTAATTAATTTTATTTTAAAAGAGTGGTGGTTGCGAAATAAACTGCGCGAGATAACGCCAACGAAAGTTGAAACGGATTTTCATATTTCCTTTTTCTTTAATTCCACACGCCGAAAGTGTTTCTGCCGTAAATGTATTCTCTCCGCGGTATTCACAAACGGTCGACTATTACGAGCTTGGCAATTTCAAAACGACGTTTGCCTATGAACACATGTAAATAAAGTCGGGTAAAGTATGATATTGACATGCTCATCCCGATATAATGTCAAAAGTAGCAATAGGAAATGATTTTTCCCCTCTTTTTCTTTGATTACACACGTGAAACATTTCTACGGTCAATATTCTCTGTGGGAGATATATTCCCGGAATAAGTATAAAAAAATTACACTCGACACCACCTCTGTATACAACATTTACAAAGAAATGCAAGTATGGTGCAGACATGCAATTAAATATGGACAAGGCCGAATCTTAATAACTGTACCAACGTTTTGCCATATGAAATGAATTTTCAACTGCAACTGGAAAGAGCGTAAAAGAGAGTGAAATATTTCTCCCCTATGGGGTAAAACATTGGCACAGCTCTTAAGATTTATCCTACACCGTTAAATTGAAAAAGGACAAATTTAAACCAATTCCATGAGTTAAATGACATTTCGTTATTTTTAATCTATACATATGTCAAAATGTACTACTTTGACACAAAACGCACAGTTAAAAAAATAACTACCTCTAATCAACCCAATTTCTGTGGTGGAATTGCTTAGTTTGAAAGTATAACTTTGTCGAAAAGAATATAAATGACACATTGATATAATCTCTCAATGCGGCGCGGCGGCGTTGATCGCACACAGTGTAGTTCCTCTTTGTGTGAGGAACTCTTCTATTTTCTTTGTTGATTCTACGTCTGTATTTCATCAACACTGTGTTCAACAGTTAATAAAATATGAATAACAGTGAAGCATCGTGAATTGTCGCGAAGCTATTATTAAACACAAACTGCTGCGTAAGAAATGCCGCCAAATAAACGCGTTGTGTACATCGAAGATCTAAAAGTAAAGTGCTATTTGTGATAGTAATTTCTAGTAAATAGAAATTCAAAGAGAAGAGAAGAAGGGACAAATATTATTTTCTTTACAGTAAAAATAAGTTTTCTTTATTGGCTATAGCGAACGAAAACGACACGAAACGATATAATAATGATATATCCAGAGAACAATATATCCAAAATTCGAACATATAAAACATCTTAAAGACCATCTTTAAGATAACATTATAACATAATGCCTAAAACATGTTTTTAATGATAAATATCTTATGTCCGTATTTTGGACATATTATTCTCTGTGGGTATCGTTTCATAGTCTAACATGAATCTGTTTGTATCAAAAAATTATTTTCTATTCGATTCTTTATATTATATTAAGTGTATAATATTCATTATAGCATACTCGCGCCATTCCCGTAGCAAGCTAAATATCGATCTGTGTGAACAAGTCCGCGTTCTTATTGTGTGATCTTTTCATTCAAATTGTTTTGGAGATAACAACTGAGGCCAACATCATGGATGTAAAAAAACTCCAAGAATGGGGGGATTTGGAGATTTTATAGATAATTTAATTCGTCGTAAGTGTTAAAATACGTCGGTATTTATTATATTGTGTTAATGCAGTTAATAGTTTCTTTAATATTACTATTAAAAAAACTTTATTATTATTGTAAATGTTCCCAAAGATTTGATTTACATCGGATCAGCTATATCACTATATATATATGCCTTCTGTTTTGCGCTTGTAAGCATCATTCGTCCTTGTTTAATATTTAGATAGATAATAAGAATGAACTGATGCTTACAACGTAATGAGCGTAAAAACAGAGAGCACGCAATGTATAACAGTACATTAAAAATGAAAATTTTTAATTATAATATAATTAAAGCTTTTAATTATGGTATTCTTATCAATTAAATTCTCTTAACAAGAGAACAGATTGATCAAGAATCGTTAAAATTGTTAGACATGGATAACGATTCTCATTCCAGCTGGTCCACGATTAAAATTTACAAAGCTATTAGCTAAATATAAGTTATCATAAGCAGAAGTGTTATTTGGATTTACTACTCTTATCTGATTCAATTGCTTCCAGTGACAATATCAATCAAACAATAAGTGCATCTGTATTAAGTGTCAATTTATTGCCATCATTCGATCTTTCTTGTGCTCCTGCACATACTTCTTTGAATTTAGTTAATCTTGTTATGAAATAAATATTACAAAATAAATATCCGAACATTTTATCTTTGCTAACAGAAAAAAAAAACAGATTGGTTGGTGTGACAAGCAACGAATTAATCGACTGTTTGTTTCGGCATTGATTGATAAATAAACTTGACGATTGATAAAAATAATGAAAATAATGAAAACTTAAGGTGCATAAAGTATATAACAATACATTAAAATAAGAACACGAAATGCAACAGATGGCATAATGAGAGGCGCAGAAATTAAAAATGAATTTTTACATTGATAACAAGTAAAAAATTATAGGCACAAAGTATCGAAAATAAACAAAATCTTCAGCAGTGTATTTTATCATCAATCTCCATTTGTTTATAATTTAATATTTCACAAATGGAGATCAGACGGAACGAAATTAAACGCTGATATATTTTAATTAAACTAGAAAATGATAATGAAATGATAATTTATTTCAAACAATATTATTTATTTATTTATTTATAATTAAATATTTTAAAAGGGGATATTGCACGAAAACGAAATTATATACTGGTATTTGTTAACTAAGCTAGAGAAAATGATAATCAACTAGAAAAGACATGAAAAATGTAAAACAAAAAATGTTTACCTCATTCAGAGCTATGGTTATGGCCCCGGAAATAGCGAGACCCTGACGGTCCTTGAGGCCTCCCTTAATAGCCGGAAGATACCCAATGGTCAAATTCACTGGGAACACATCGGTATCTTCCGGCCATAGTTTTTTGCGATGGATAGCTCCTGATCGCATTAATGCCGATCGCTGCTCTGGCGCTTCCGTTTTAACAAAGTCCATACTGCTAGCAAGCAGCAGTAGCAGCAACAGAAGGGCTCGTAATCTGTCTCGGTCGTGATGCTGCTGCTGCTGCAATTGTTGCAGCTGTTGTTGTTGTCGGAGCGGCTTGAGCGGGGCGGAGTGCATGGCCGCCGCCGTCTCCGGTCAGCGGCGCCTCCTTCCCGCTCACCTGAAAAATTCAAGGAATACGTTGAGAAAGTGTCAAACTCAGAGAGTTGATGGTTGAATGAAACGGTTCCAAGAATCGATCGTGAAAACGTTTACATCAGCCTACGAATAATTCTATAATATGAAAAAAATATTTGAACGAGCAATAACGGCAAAAGCAGCGGATGTTTGTTTTATTCATCCAAGGTAAACTTCGCGTAACTATAAAGTAAAATTATAGGTACCTATATCTAGTCACTGGGACGTTTACCTCAGATTGTTTTTCAAAACTATTTCATTTAAATGACTATTTCATTTGAATGATACCTACAATTTTATAGTTACACGAAGTTTACCTTGGATGAATAATAAATATCCGCTGCTTTTCCGTTATTATCTAGTAATTGCTGGATCACGTAAAAAAATATTTTGCTGCTCCAGCTAGAATTATAGCTATTTTTTGTATCTGACAGAAAATTATGTATCATACGCATAGAATTTATATACAAATCTAAATTATATCTCTGTCAATTCTATCTATATAATTGAACTTGCTAGAAATTTATCTATTCCAAGTATTTTTCGTACTTAGATAATTTTAGCTGTAATTGCAAGATCACTTTTTTGAGTGATAATAACTTAAAAGATTGGAATATGTTACACGCAGATATTAAGTAGGTACTGATATTAAATTAAAATTTCATTGCAACAGATATTAATGAAGTATCTATTGTATATTAATATGTTTTTTAAATATAAAGATATATCAAATAGAAAAAAATAGCTAAAAATTTTGATAAAATTTGGCAGCTGTAAAAATTTGTTATATGTATCTGTCTATAAAAAATATGTCTCGATGTGTCTGAATGATTAATTTCGGAGCAGTTGAACCTGTTGAATGTATTTATATCCATCCGTGCACTGAATGTATAACGAATGATACAATTTCCGTGGTCACAATCATAAGCACGAAACCGGCCGTGCTTGGTACTATTGTGGTAGTGACAGTAAAACGTATCTTCCTGCTTGACTGCATTTATCGCGAGATTGCATTTATTTGCGTAAATCATCGTACCATCTGTGTGCTTAGTTAATAATAAATCTTTTATAATAATATTTTGCTACGCGACGCATATACTAAACTGATTTACTTGCATATATTTTTTTAAGATACAGTTTATTTCATTGTCGCTTACGCGTCAATGAATGCATTCCTCCATAAAGCAAGTTATATCGCGTGTGTAGAATGTAACGATCTATACTTATAATATAAGAATTTTCAATATATATTTATTGTTGTTACACAACAACAGCCTTTCATGAGAATGCTAATAGCTCAAGAAAAATAGATTTTTTCGAGGCAAAAAAGATTTGTCATAAAAGATTTGTTTGCGGGAAGTTATTCAAAATGATGTATTACATATACAACATACTTGTCTCGTAATTATCAAGATTTCATATTTAAAAATATTATTTAAGACTTAAATTATTTAACATTAACAAGAATATTGAAGTATATATGGAAATTCAGTTTATCCGTTGACTCGTTTGTCATCGTTATAATTTGGAACTGTTCGATTAGGACAAATATAATTTTGGCATAACGAAAGGTAAAGATAGACAGACACCGGACGCGAAACACAAAACCGCTGATCTTACACATACAATTGAAATACAAACAGTTGTGAAATGAAAGTTGGCTACGAATTATTACGAAAACAAGAGGTCTTATCTCGGGTGCGTCGGCTGTAAAATCCCGGCACTATCCCATTATCATACAATACTAAAAGTCCTGATCACCAACGGACTTCAAAAATTTTCCAGCTTCAAAAAACTGATAAAAAATGCGGTTGATTATATTGATTATATTGCGGTTGATTATATGTTTTCTTTTATTGTTGAACAAAACCTATTTTACGTTTTATGTATATATCTTGGATTCGGCTACTTCTACGTAAAAAGTACTTATCATAACACATCGAGCATGCTCGACATATAAAACGAATTTATTAAGACAAATACTTTATAGGAAAAAGCAATACATCATTTAAAGATTGCAATTGATGTAATTGATTAATGAACAGAAATAATCGATAAAACGCGAATCTTTATGAAGACATTATATTATTATTATTAATAGGAATAATACGCCGATGGATTTTAATGGATTATAGCTATTACACCACACTGAGAAATTTCGCGACGCGACGGATCCGTAGTCATTATTATATAGCCTCCAGACAATTTATAAATGGCACAGCAACTCGTGTCCATAATTACAAATTAAATAAATAGTATTATCTTAACATATATTTATAAAAAGTAATTAACACTTTTTTATTTTTATGCATCTATCAATAATAATTATAATTTTGAATAAACCTATGTAACCTGTATATTACCTATTTATTATATTCATTTTTATTTAATCAAAATTTGTACAATTGTGTTATAATGTAAATTGATGTAAGTAAAAAATAAAGAAATTTTTTCTTCCGAGAAATTTGAGATAACGATATACAAGAATATGATGGTATGTATATGCGGACAATTCACGCGAATGTAATGTGTTAAGTATCCAGTTATTTGCAATATATTGTTGGTTAATGTAATTAGGATCTTTAGCGTCGGATTTACTATGCGGGGAACGCTCCTCGTGATACGCGTTATAGAAAGAAATCACTTGTCAAATATGTATACTTTTTTAAAAAGTATTTTACAATTCTCTTTGTGACGATATATATCGCACACGATCCTCGGGGCCAAGCACGCGAGACGACTCGAGATGTTGGTTACGTACACATGCTCGCACATGTATTCGCGACTCGCACAATAGAGACATTTAAACTTGCTTACGTATAGATTTCGGGTATTCAGGTAGTGAATCGAACTCCTGTGGATCCTTTTCAGAATAGACATTTAACTGTCAGCAATCACAATATCCAGATTAATAATAATGTAACATCTAATCGCGTAGCTTAAATATTTAAACATATTCAACCGCCAGGCATAATAAGGAAGCGTAAACAAGGGCGATAAAGACGGTTGAGAAAAATATTTTCGAGAGAAGGTCCTCGAAGGACAGAAAGACTGAGAATTACGTGTCTCTCGAGACGGAATCGATCGGAGAGTTTGCTGGCGAGACTTCGGCATGTACAGACGTGCGGAAATCGCGTACAAATAATAAAGACCGGCATACGAACACGGAACGAACTCTTATTTGTTCGCCCATCTGACGCTCCAATCAGCAAAGTGGTGAACCCGGCGTGATTTAAAAAAGTTTTCGCAATTCTGAAGTAAGTGATCGCGAGAGCGTGAGATAATTGGGAAGACAATCGCGTGTGACTTTCGAGTGACCGAGATTTGAAAAGTTCGGTTAGACGCGGACAAAGACGCGAAAAATCGCGATGGCGATGGCGCGTGACGAAGCAGCAGAATTTGGAACAGTCTGGAGATAGAGCGGAAAAAAAAAAAAGCGAAAAAAGAACGTAGTTTCAGGCTGCCGGTTAAAAACAATTTGAATCGTATCTTTCTTATCAATCGTGAGATTTTTTTTTTGTGCGAAATTCACGCATAATTCGGAACAAACACATTGTAACAAATACCGCGATGGACGGATATTTAGCAAGTTAATAAATTAAGAGAAGTAACTGTAGAAGTAACTGAAGTTAAAGAAGTCCTGTAGTTTTTATCATTCACGTGGGAAAAAGAAAACCGCGAAATTTATACGACTGAACGATTACAGTTCGTGATTGCCGATTAATATTCCGTGATCAAGAGGAGAAGGCGTGTAAACGGTGTCATGATTATGTTTGTTTGCAAGCGGAGAGAGAGAGAGAGAGAGAGATCGTATACCTTAAAACGATCGCATCGACGAGCCACGTAGGCGAAGTCACATATACTCGTTTTATCACGATATGCCTGCACTAATGTGGCACGCATATTACGTTCTAAAAATAACTACGGAATATTATGCGGTCTTCGGGCATACGAGGCGTGTAAGTGCATTGGGCGAAGGTCGCGCCTGCTCGCGTTTCTTCCGTTTTGCCACCACAATAATTCGTAAGGCTGTTACTTTCGAATTATGAATTATTGAAAAAGCCTTATCGCACTGCTTGTTATTAAAATCACTTCTATCACTCGCACGTGCAAGCTGTGTCGTAAAAGAAATTTAATTTATGACGCTGCGAGGGGGGATCCTGTATTATGTCGCAAGATCTTTTATCATCGATAATATATCGTAGCGATAAAGATTTCACTGATGAACAAGTTGTCGTGGAACAAAAAAACTGTTCTATTAATAACGACGTAAATTAAACAAGTCTTTCGCAGACGTAACTGATACGCGAGGCAAATATAAGCCGATAAAAGACTAAAAATAGCGTTGTTGTTGAAGTATACACATTACTTATGTTCGCCTGGCAGTTTTAGGCTAAATTATTTCTGAATGATGAGGTAAGGCCTAATTTAGATTGTGCCATAAAATTGCGAGAGTTTACAAATTATTTGCTAGCGAATATTCATCTCGTAAAGAAAACTATTCATTATAATAACAAATATTATTATCCAGCACAAGAGCGCAAACAACACACACAGCCTGTATAGATACGAAGTAGAACAAAACTACAAGAATATATAATCAAAAGGAGAAAATTTATACGTCTGCATAGAAAGATATTCGAATCAGTAGAACTCTAAGAAATATTTAAAGGACACATTTTATCGTGTTTATCACACCTGACATTGTCTGGAACTTAAACATTTTTGAATAAATGTTACTCGTATAATAGCTTGTGTTATAAATTACGGTTTTATGTATCTTTTCACATTTACGTCGTTCAAAAATCACATTTATTCGATTCAGAGAAAAGTCAAAATTTCTTTCGCTTTTATCTAGACGTTAAAAATGTGGCGTGTAATAAATTTTTCCAATAAAACAATAGAAAAAAATAAATGTTTCTGACAGTTAAACCTATTTCTGATCGTTCCATTTTATTAATTTATTTCGTAAACACTCCTTTG